TAAGCTATTTATTAAAAATATATTTAAATTTAATAGTAAAATTTAAAGGTATTATATAAGTATTTATATTAAAATAGTAAACCCCAAATAAATATATATATATAAAAATTTATTAAAATATTAAAATAAATAATCCTTTTAAAAATAAAAGGATTTTATATATTATAAAGCCCTTATTATAAAGTTAGGTTATAAGCTTTTAATAACCTTTAATTATATATTAAGGATAACCACTTTGTAATATAATAAAAATAAAATATAAAAGGTAAGTAAAAATAATAAAAATAATATATAATTATTTATATTTAAGGATAATTGCTCTTATTAATAAGTATATTTGCTAGTTAAGGGATAATATTAATAGTTTATTAAAAGATAATAATATTAGTAGAACTATATTAAAAGGAAATAAATAATATGAAAAAATTATATAACTTAGTATAATACTACTTTTAAATCCTTATTTATATAGGGCTTAAAGTAAAAACATATATATTAAAGGTTTTTAAAATATATTTTATATATAATATTATAAATTATTTTAATATTAATATTTTAATTAAATAAGTTTACTTTTTAATTTTTAAAAATATAAAATAAATAATATTAAATTTTAAATAATAATATTAAATTTTTAATATAAATTTAATTTTAAAGTTTTATAATTATTAAATTATAAATTTTATTAAATTTATATTTATTATTTATTATTATTATTTATTTAAATATATTAAAGTTTATATATTTTAATTTAATTTTTAATAAAATAAAAATATTAAAATAAAAAAGTTTATTTTATATTTTATTAAAAGTTTATTATTTTAATATTTTTATTATATAAATAAAGTAATATTTATATATTTAATAAATTAATTTATAAATTTAATATATATTTTATTTTTAAATATAAATTATTTATATTTTTAATTTTATTATTAAATTAAAAGTAAATAATTAAAATTTTAAAAATAAAATCTAATATATTTTAAAAATTAATTTAATTAAATTTATTATATAAAACTTTTATAATAACTTTATAATTTATTATATTTATAATATTATTTATTATTAAAAGTATTTTTATATTAATATATTAAATTATATTTAATTTATTAAATTAAAATTATTATAAATTAAAATTAATTTTAATATTATTAAATATTATATATAATATTATTATATAATTTAAACTTTTAAATATAAATTAATTAAAATAAATAAAATAAAATTATTATTTTTAATTAAAAATATATATAAATCTTAATTTTATTTAAATAAATATTTATTAAATAAATTTATTTAAAAATAATTATTTAATTTATTAAATTAAAAATAATTATTAAATAAAATAATTATATTTTATTATTTAAATTTATAATTATATTAATTTATTTTATTATAAATAAAAAATAATTATTAATAATTAAATTTATAATTATATAAAAATAAATTTTTATTTTAAAAGAAATTATTAATATTTAATATAGTTAATATATTTTTAAAAAGTTTAAAATTATAATTTTATATTTTTATATTAAATTTATAAATATTTTAAATTTAAATTTAAAAATATAAAACTTTAATTTATTTAAAAATAAAAGTTATAAAAATTTAAAAAACTTAAACTAAATTAAATTATAATATAATAAAATAATTAAATAAAAATTAATTAAAATTTTATAATTATAAATCTTTTAACTTTATATTTAAAAGGATATTTAATATTATAATATATTATAATTATATAATAATTTTTAAATTTAATTAAAAGTTTTATAAATTTATATTTATTTTATATTAAATTTATAATAAATTTTTTTAAAATATATTAATTATTTTAAAAATAATAAATTTTTATAATAAAATTTATTTTAATAAATTAAAAGTTTATTTAAAAATTATTTTTAAATATAATTTTTTTAAATAATAATATTTTAAATTTAATTAAATTTATTTTTATAAATTAAAGGTTTTTAATATATAACCTTTTAAAATTTATTTTATATATTTATAAATTTAATTATTAATAATTATTTTTTTATTTATAATAATATTATTAAATTAATAAATTTAAAATTATATATAATATTTAAATATAATTATTTTTTATTATTTTAAAATATTATTAATAAAAAATTAATTTATAAAAAATTTAAAAATATTAAATAAAATTAAATAAAAATTAATTATAAATTTTATATTAAATATTAAAAATAATTTATAATTTAAAATATTTTATATTTATAAAATTCTATTAATAAAACTTAAAAGTTTATTTTAAATTATAAATTATTATTAGGTTTTATTATTTAATAATAAAAGTTTAAAATATTATTATTACTATTATAAGTTATAATTTTATTATTTAAAATATAAGTTTATAATAGGTTTTATATATTATTATAAAATAAAAACCTTATATAATATTTAATATTTTTATATTTTAATATACTATTTTGCATTAAAATATATATATTTAAACTTAAATATTAATACTTTAAAATAAATTATAAAATTTAATTTTTTTAATTAATAATTATTTTATATTTTATTATCTTTTATTATTATATATATTATATACTTATTAAAATAGCCTTTAATTTAAATATTTAATTTTAATTTAATTTTAATTATATTTTAAAGGTATTATAAATATTTTAAATATTAAATACTAATATACTACTATTATAATACTTTTAAAACTTTTTTTTTTTATATTATTTTTAATACCCTTACCTTTTATATTATACTTTTAAGCTTTATATTTATATAAAAGTTATACCCTTATATAAAATAGGTAGTATTTTAGGTTTATATTTAATAAGCTTTTATTTAATAATTTTTAATTATTTTTAAAGTTATTATTATATATATTATTAAAGTCCTTTTTTAAATTTCTTAAAAGGTTTTCTTTTTATAATATTTTAAGTTATTTTTAAACTTAAATATTATTATTATTAATTAAATATATTTTAATATATTATTATATAATATTTATTAATAATATAAAATATATATTTTATAATTATTATAATAATAATTTATATAAATTTTATTAATTAGGCTTTTTTAAATAAAATATATTTTTATTAGGCTAATAAATTTAAAATAATTATAGTAATTATATTTATTAATAAATATATTATTATAAAAAAGTATATTATTATTATATAAATTTATTAAAAGTATTAAACTTAAAATAATTAAATAGTTTTATATTTAAAATAAAACTTTTATACTAAAATAGGTAAATAATTTTTATAATTAATATTAATATATAATAATAAAAATAATAAAAATATAATAATTAATTATAATATTACTATTATTATTTATAAATTTATTAATTAAAATATATATATTATTATATAAATATTAATAAAGCTTATTAATAATTTATATAATAAAATTTTTAATAATATTATATTTTTTTTTATTATTTTAAATTTTTTAAATAAGTTAATTAAAAAAGCTAAAAATAATAAAATTTTAAATAAATATTATAATAATTATATATTTATTAAGGTTATAATACTTAAAATAATATAATAATAGTAAAATATATATATTATAAAATAAGTTAGTTGGAAAGTTTAATTATAAATAGGTTGAAATTTTTAAGGAGCTGCGATAAATATAGCTTGGGCTAAGGTGGGGCGGGGGGTAGGTGCTAGTAAGGGGGTGGGCAAAGTGAAAATTTGGATTTTTGGATATTTGCCGCTCAGGACCCCCGTACCTGGGGTACCTGAGGTGGTGAGATGAGGCCCGAGCTCCCCTCCAGGGTCAGGGTCAGGGTCATGGGTCATGGTCTGTGGATAAGGCGGGTCGTGGGCCTCGGGCAAGGAAGGATTGGCGTGATGGGGACAGCTCTTCCCATCGACCAATGTGGGCGGCAACACGCAATTGGTCGAGCCGGCAATAACATGATGGGTGCCGGGCGGGCGAGCCAGGTTTGTCGCTTCCTTCCTGCTGAGTTTTTGCGGGCAGGGGCAGGGACACCGCGCTTGCAACTGCACGTTTAATTGCCTCGAGTCACTCCAAACATCATCACTTACACCGTATTTGATTTCAGCGTGTGCAGCCCAGAGTCGCTCAATTGGCAGCAATCCGTCTGGCCAATGCGTCATTTCTTCTCGAATGTCTCGCCTCCACGTCCCCAGAAACGGTTGCAGATGCGGTGGCGTCGTTCCGATCCCTCCGGCCATGTGACGGGCACTTCAACTCCCGTACAAAGACCGGGCGGGCCTTGCAGATCTGCACAGTACGCAGTAGTCGCCATGCGGTCAGTCCGATTTGCACGCGACCCACCTCCATCCTGCAGCTCTTGGGCCGAGCCGAAAAGACGCAGCAGAGGGAGAGAGAGGGAGAAAAAAAAAGGCCTCACCCGCTCTCGCTTTCCAATCCCCAGAAAACGCCTTTTCCCACCCAGCGTCCAATGATGTCAGCTCTGGAGAGGCCCAGAAATGCCTCATGCAGGATTGGCTCGGATCACCACGGCTCTCTTCCCTCGCTCTTACTCCGGACATTGTCCTGACTCCTCGGGCTTGGACTCCACCTCCTCCAGCTTACTCCTCTGCTCGCTCCTACAGTACGTGCATACAAGATGGGCCTATACCCATTTCAGTCAACCGTCGACACGCATTCAGTCTTCACACCGACTTTGGACATGGAGAGACACTTTCTGAGGTACCAGGTCAAGCGACCAAGGTGCTGTATGTGATTTCCTAGGTACTAACCCCTTCAGCATTCAGTGTTTGCCTGACAGAGCCGCGTGGCACTCAACCTATATACAATGGCCTGTCGAGGAAGTATCTACATCAGAGGAACGAATCTGCTCGTATGAGCCTCGGCTCGGCACCCTCAGCCCGTCCTGTGAGCCTTACGGATCACCTCTCCGGACGAACTCCGTCCGCCCTCCCGGCTCAGGGCTGACCCCGGATAATCAACACCGGCCTCCTCCGTTGGTCCCACCCGACCTGGTTTGAACTTCATCATCGGCTTCAGCAAGTTGCCACGGCCGGCCCTGGGGCCTGGTATGGCTTGCCGCCGTTGTCGGCCGCACCCGAGGCCCCGTAGATGTTGGTCTGAATGCCAGCGTCGTTCTGCTTGTAGAACGGGAATGACACCGCGGGGGACATCGTCTTAGTCCCGGAGCCGCCGACGTTGAGCTGCAGGCACGACGAGTAGAACTGTGCGCCGTTTGCGCTGTACGCCGAGTGGAGCGCAATGATCTCCACGCGCATGAGGTATTGGCCCGGTGCAAGGCAGGAGGGGATGTTGAAGTAGGCCCATCCGTTGTTGGCGATGAGGTTGTCTATTATAAGAGCACTCAGTCAGCACCTGGGAAACTCTTCACCGACCAGCCGCGTTCAATCACGCTACCCAAAACGGGCAACAGCATAGGGCTCGACCACTTACCGACGCCCCACTTCTTCGACGACGTGTCGTACGTGTCCTGTCCGATCTTGAACCACTGCAGCCCTTGGTGGCTTGACGTCGCCGCGTTGTCGACCTTGGCCATGTATGCGATCACCGGGCCGTGGTGGCTGGCCGCGATCGGGTTGTCTGGGTCGTTGGCGCCCTGTGGGCCACCGATAACATGCTGGAACCACGCTCCAATCTTGTCGCCCGCGTTCGCAGCGACTACCGTCTGTGATGTGGAACCAGCCGCGCCACAGATCAAAGATGGGCTGGTCACGTCTTGCACTGGGTTGTTGGTCGATGGCGCTCGCAAGCCCTCGAGCGACCCCTTGTTGTTTCCGTTGACCGAAATTTTCTAATGGACAGGTTAGTCCACACAAAGATCACGACCGCAAGGAAGGCCGGAGCCTTACTTGGAAAATACCGTGCGCCTCAACGGTCGCAGCAATGGCGGAGGTGATGAGCAGTGACAGCTTCATGGTGAGTCTCGTTCGCGATCAGAATTATGGTCCGTGTGAAGACAGCAGTCTCTGGTCTATATATACTATTCGGAATTCGAAGCAACCGTGACAGGTAGGTTGCGAGACATCTCTTATATAATAGCAGCGACGAACCCCATCAACGTCCCGGAGACCTTGCCTGCGAGCCGACACCAGCCTCAGCCCTTAATCTAGAGTACCACGCTATGGTTTTCACCCAGCAATCAAGAGAGGCGTACGAGTCACCACCATCCGCATGTCTAGTCCTGGCAGATCTCGGCACGGCTGATGTAAATGAACTGCTATGGCCATGATCACCCAGCGGCCTAGCTCATCACCAATCACATTACTCGCGTGAGCCTCAAATATCAGATGTAAAGTGTGCCAAGAACGAGCGGCCCTCTGTGTTGGTTGTTTCACTCCTTTAATTCGAACTGTATTGGGGGTGGCCGTCCTCCGCTGGCCGAAAGGGGAAAGGGGGAATCCGGGGTTATTTAGCCGTGGTGCTGGACCGCGGTCACGCGTGAGCTTGTGCGCCTAGCACATCGCATATCAGTATGCCCTCTCAGGTTACAGATGCTTACACGCCGTCATGATATCTACTTATTACTCCTTGCATCCTTCGCGGCAAATGTGCCGACACGATGACCAACGGGTCATGTACGACGGGATGCCTCCCGTCGTTGCCGTCCCCAGCCGCCCGGGACAAGAGGTCGCATTTTGGTAATGCATCCGACAAATTCAGGATCTTGGTTTCGAGAACATTGCCTTGGAGAGCTTAGAAGGGGGTGGGGCCGTTCGTTTCCATTCCGTGGTTCGTCTCACCTCGCCTGCCGGCGTTTCTGTTATAATTTTCTAGAACAAGGCACTGGTGCGCGTTCTGCTCCGTCCGAACCTAGATAGTTGAAACATGACACACCGGGACGCATGGATGTCTTGTAGCAAGCTAGTGCCTGGCAAACACCAGCCGCCGGAGTGTCATAGACTGCTTGCTATAAATACCTAATGTGGCTGCATCCCTTTATTAATCCACCACTGCCACTGTTGCCAAGACTCCCAGCAGTCCAACGCGCCGGCACTGAAATAGGGTCATCTTCACTTCTGATTCGTGTCACCTACCTAATCAGTCGATTAGATGGAAGCGCCCGCAGTGTGCCCAGCGTGATATCACAACACATAGTCTATATACTTAGGTAGAGTGAGAGTCAACAGGTCCTCTACGCGCCTCACAGGCCCCTTCACTTAAATACAATGTCTCCGCATAGTGTATCACCGAAGCGACCGCATACCGATCGGAATATTCGGCACGCCGAACCGATCTCAAGATGTGTAGTCCTTGCCAGCCTCGTAGGAGATCCAATTATGGACCCTCACGATAGACGCGAGTGATCTGGCGAAGCTGTAACTAGTCACTCTCACAAAGCCCACTCGACTGAGACATGATCCATGGGGGAGACAACACGACTTCTCTCGAACAGTAAAACGGTAAAGTAGCTGTATCATACAAGGAGAGATTTCAACCGAGAGTAAAGAGGCTCTGCCACCTGCCAAGGACGGCAGCAATATTTTGCAGGGGCCTCTGAGTGTTTCGTCGGACCCACCAACTTTTACCGCCTCCCTATACATGTAGATTGCAGCACAAAGTCCAAGCGAAACAAAGGTGAGATTTCTCCATCCAGCGAGACCGGGCCCAGTCACTGTAATTAAAGGCGAATACATCTGACTGCCCATAAATGCTCAACACCAAAGTTACTTTATGATAATAGCTTGGCGTCTGACCTTGATGTCTTCCTCTCGCCGTGAAACAGCCAGTCATCACCAGAAGGCTCCAGTCGGAAATTGGTACCTAGGTAGGCAGTGTCATACTTGAAAAAAACCGCAGCTGTGCCGAAGGATTATGATGCCCTGGCATTCTCAGCCCGGGCTGCGCCAGTTGATAGAGCCCATCTAGTTTCTTGAGCAGGTGGGCCAGCTGGAGGTCAATCTGGACTGGTTACCTAGGTAGGTACCTAGGTAGCGTTCCGTCTGGCTGTGCTCGCAAAACCCCAATAATACTCATCGCTGTTACCTTTGCATCCAGAAGTTCGGCGGCATTTTATTCGCAATGAGCTTGGCCCGAGTAAGTTATGACGATAGTGACTCACGGCGAATCGATCTCGTTAGCTGAGAAGCTCACACATTTTGGTGACTGTGGTGGATCAGTACAGCGCGAGAGGAGACCGGATTGTCTCAATGTTTCTGGTTGTCTGGCGAAATTGCTGTACCTAGGTATGTGATCAGCACGAAATGTGTCTGGGCAGTCAGATTATTCGATCACAATCTTCACGGCGAAAGTCGGAAGTGTCTGGGAAAATAGAGCGCCTTCATGCTATTGCCCACATGAGACTATACCTGTCCTCAACACGGTGTTCTCAGAAAGTAGGGTCATCGAGATGCTCTATCAGAATGAGTACTTGAGACGAACACACGGAGTTTCAAGGTTTGCGAGCTTCTGCCTATCACGTCAGTGGAAAGAGCGAGCGTACACGATCAGCAATTTTCGATGATCAACATGACGAACTGCCCGGCTCTGATCGGGAATTCACAAGTTCGTCTTGCAACCGTGTCATCCCCACCAGCTTCGTAACCTTGGAAACGCATTTGTCACCGACGCCGCGGCCGTTCCTGCGTTCAAAGCTGTGATACGGATCTGTCCTAAGCCCTTGCAGCCCACAATCTGGGCACCCTGGGCGGCCTGCTAGATGGTGGCAGGAAAGGTGCATGTGATGGGAGACCGGCCCGTCTCAGCCTGCGAGTTAGAAAGCTGAGAGTCTGCCCACGGATCGATCGGCAACAATCGCCTTGCAGTGGGGCGCGGTGTGCAGATATGGCTCCGAGGGTATTGGTCGCATTTGGTGCTAAATGTCTTCAAATTCTAAAGTTCATTGACCTGGAAGACTGGGTTTCGGCTCCTTGACTCCACCTGACGTCGAAGTGGGGGCCGCAATGAGAGAAAGGATTGATGAACATGGTGATGTTGATTTTTATGTTGCTAAATCCTGTTTGGGTATCTTTATATGAAGGAGAAAAAAAAAGAAGAGGTGGTAGTGCGAACGTCCTATCTAATCTTGTCCTCCGTCGTCCTATATAGATAGCCCCAAAAGTTTTACCATCCATTCATGCCAGAACCTGGTCCGTCAGCGGTTTTGGGCCCTGTACTTGAATTTTATACTTGAAGTTTATCTGCCCACTGAGGGAGAAACCACTCCATCAGCATCCGGAATGGCACCTAGGGGCATTCAGTAAATCTAGCCCTGCCTCACATCCTCCCGTAGCACTCTCTCCCCAATTCTGCTCGTCAAGGATATCACAGAAGTACATATCCAAGAGTATAGATTGAGGCACACCAGCAGTCAGGGCGACCTTCGTCGATTCCTCGTCCCAGCGGTGTTCTATAAGCTGGAAAAGCGGAAGGTTTGGTGTTGTGTGTCTCGCAACATCCTGGGGTCTCTGGTGAAGCTTAAAAGATATGATTGCCCACAGTCCAGGCCTTCTAGGTAATTTGTTTGGAACCGTTCCTCGATAATCTCAAGATGTGGGTGGCGATTTGATGTAATTAGTCAAACATGTTCTCACACCACAATTGTACAAGCCGCCGGCGAAGCCGCGGCGTTTATGCAGTGCAGGTCATGACAGCCAGTGGGTGCCGTGACAGTTATTTTGACAGTGTAATTTCCTTTATCTCTCTTCTTCTATTCTCAAACTCCAAACAACCTGTATCTTCAGACCTTGACCACTCCTGGAGGCCGTCTATAAAGGATGTACCAAGCCTGGTCAACATGCAGCTCCTCATAAAGCTCAACCCAGTCGTCAGCAGCCACATACATCCACCCAACGCCCTGATCCGTGCAGCCCTCGATGGCAGGCGGTTTAGTCGCAGAGTCATCGATGTAGTCATCCCCCTCGTCCCCCTCCTTGGGGTCGTCATAGCCCTCAGGCAACCCAGCCGGCCTCTGCGCGGCCCGCACGACAGCAAAGAACACCGGGGTCACTGCGCACTTGCTCTTCCCGGCCTGCGGCGCCTCCTCGTGCGCAATAAGGCTGTCGAGGCTGTCCCTGCCGACGTGCACGCAGTACTCGAAGCGCGGGAGGTATGGTGTGACGCGGTGATCCGCGCCAGGCCCGTCACGCCCAACCGACAGGCCGTCGCGCCACTCCACGAAGCGCTGCCGTGCTTGGTCCTTTGTGGCCCCGTCGAGGGCCTTGCGGTCTTGCACGACAGTCCATTGGAGGTAGAGACCCGTGGTACGGTCCTGGTGGCTAAGGCGGTGGTAATCCTCAGCCTGGTCCCGCAAGTAGGCCACAAACCTGTCGAAGAGGGCATCATCTGAGTAGTCGCATCGGTAGATGATAAAGCCCCATTTGAAGAAGCCTGTCATCTGCATGTGATGGCCGCGGGCACCTACGGTCTGGCCTTCGGTTTGGAGGGCCTTGAGCGTTTGGAGATTCTCTCTTGCTAGCGGGTGCTCGTAGAGTTGGCTCTTATCACTGGCCATCTTGTTTTGATGGGAAGACCATTGAAGGAAAAGACCTGACTGTCGTTGCAAAAGGAACAAGCAGGCGTTGCCGATCTGGAGTGAACAGAAAGTGTAGGCCTGCTAGAGCTCCCGCTTTCAAAATGTACTTGGGCTTGCAAAGAGACTATTTCCTGCCCAATTATCATCATCAAGGACAAGGAGGATACATTCCCTGGCATTGATATGGTGAGTCATGATGAAGCCGCATGTCCAGCTTCCGTACAGTACACTCATTGCTTTGCGATGTGTTGCTGGTGATTGGGTTGTTGCCTCTCTTATCAACCTCGCTGCACATACAAGTACCTAGGTATCTTGGGAGCCTCGGGACAGGGGTGATCCAATCCAACCAATCACAGCAAGGACAACCAAGCTGAGCAAACCAGATTAGGTAAGCCCTGTCTGAGCCGTCGGGAAGCTCCAAATGTTTGACGGCATCACTTCCGGGGCGGCGACAGCACCACCAACTCCCAGCCATTGACCTCCACACAGTCCACCATGGCCAGCAAGATCGCACCTCTAGTATTCAGGACGGCCGTCCGCTCCGCACGGAGCTCGGCAAGGCCACAGACCCGCGCATTCTCTGTCACAACGTCAAGACCGAGCGACACGCTCATGGTCGTACGTGCCCCCTCGACTCCTCCTTCCATCATGCCCTGTTGCCACCGCCCCTCGCAGTGTTGAGGGTTTCATGGGGGCACCACCAAGATGTACAGGATACGAGCTAACAACACGTCCAATCGCAACAGCACCGCAACACACCGGACAACAACCCCAGCATCCCCTTCAAATTCACCGCCAAGAATGAAGCCGTCATCGCCGAGATCCTCAAGCGGTACCCACCACAGTACAAGAAGGCCGCCGTCATGCCGCTGCTGGACCTCGGCCAGCGCCAGCACGGCTTCACCAGCATCAGCGTCATGAACGAGGTCGCCCGTATCCTCGAGATGCCCCCCATGCGAGTGTACGAGGTCGCCTCCTTCTATACCATGTACAACAGGACCCCGGTCGGCAAGTTCTTCGTCCAGGCCTGCACTACGGTAAGCCCGCTGTCAATTCGTCCCTCATTTCAAGCAGACAAGGAACCACGAGAGGCAGGACCACAGGGAAGAGAAGGAAAACAAAGCCACAGGACCACACACGAGGAAGTCCGCAGAGGGAAGAACAGAGAGCATCGAAGCTGACAGGAAATGATGCGCACAGACACCCTGCCAGCTCGGCGGCTGCGGCTCCGACTCGATCGTCAAGACGATCGAGGAGTCGCTCGGTATCAAGGCCGGCCAGACGACCGAGGACGGGCTCTTCACCTTCATCGAGGTCGAGTGCCTGGGAGCGTGCGTCAACGCGCCCATGGTCCAGATCAACGACGACTACTACGAGGACCTGACGCCCGAGACCACGCGGTCCCTGCTGACCGCCCTGAAGGAGAGCGCGGGGGACGTCAGCAAGATCCCCAAGCCGGGCCCCATGAGCGGCCGCCAGACGTGCGAGAACAGCGCCGGCCTGACCACGCTGACGAGCGAGCCTTACGGTACTGAGGTCACGAGGTCGGATCTGTGATTTGGTAGGGTTGGTTTTGGGGTGCTGGGTGCTAGGTGCAGGTCTCCCTTTGACGGCACTTGATCGTCTCATTATTGAGGCTGCCGGGATCAAGAGTAGAATGGTAGACAGACTGGACCCAGGCGATTTACGAGCGGGGACAGCGGAAAAGCCATCAAAGAGAGCAGAGAGCCATGCTGGTTGTACATATGAATTTGTATTACGCGTCATATCAAAGACCTTTGTGAGACAATTATGGCCCGGGCAAGCAGTGCTATCTTTCCTCATGGATGGGAGCATAGAAGGAAGGGCGCAAGACGATTCGAAACACCAGATAACAGCGCCCCGTATGTCTCAAACTAGCAACGCAGATGACATCCCCGTGCGTTCATTCAGAAAATACATGGCTGACGAGCATCCTCGGCTTGGATCTGGGCGCAGACTGCCGCAGCAGCCGCCGAGCCTGAGAACAGGACCTGGCTCGCAATCTTGATGGGCGAAGCCTCGTCTCCGGCAACAAAAACGCCCTTTTTCGACGCCTCGCAAAACATCGGCTTAATAACAGGATCACCCATCGCATTCATATCTAGGCCCAACTGCTTGTGAAAGTCACCATTTGCTTCTGTCGGAGGTTTGTGTCCAAGGAAGCCTTCGGTGACAGTTTCCCCGCCCTCAAAGTGTAATACGACGTCAGCGAACCCGACCCCCTTTTGAATTCGGATTATTCGGCGGCTGTCTATTTTGAAGACTGGGTGGTCACGTTGTGCTTCCTGTAGGCCAGCCTTCAGCCCCTCGGAGCCGTACGTGTAGATCGTGATGGAATTGGTAAACCTGGCTGCCGTACGTGCTACGTGAAGAGCTGCTGGAACGGTCCCTATATCGGGGATAGCCAAATGGCTAGCAGATTCGACGCCTCGAGCTTCAATGATAGCTGAGAAATGCAATCAGTCTCCGTCAAACACTACGTGATATTTTCTGTTCCAGGAGGCCCACTCACACACACTCCCTTCCCCCAACAGTCTCCATATCCTTCAATGTCCGGGAAGACATCACGCACACCATTCGCAAGGATTACCTTCCTCCCACGCCATTGCTTGCCGTAGCTACTGGAAGCCGTGAAGGTCTGCTGCGATGAATCATTGCCCGTTGTTTCCTGGACAGATACCACGTATGCCTTTACGAACTCGATGCTGGTGTAATAGCCAAGAACGTTCTTCTTGGCTGCTTCGCAGAAGTCTGCGGGATCACTCTGGTCCCACGTGAGAACATTGTAGATATGACTGCTTGATGCGTCTTCACAGCTTGCGGAATAGCAAGGACATTCATTATCTACCCGGGGGTACCAGAGAAATCAGGAGTCAAAGTTAGAGTGTTCCGTGACAAAGTGAAGCAGGACCGGCATAGATTAGACGACATTGAATGAAGTCATTGCAGGAAATCAGTGTCTGAGTCCAAGTTACGAAAACGTGATGACGAGAATCTGGACATAACCTTTGCAATTTTGGCGAGACCCTTCAAATGTTCACTACAAAATTAATTATCCTGGCCTCCTGAATCTTCAAACACATCTCAAGCTCATCAGTAGAATTCCTCTTCCCAATGGGAACATGAAATCGTTCATACACCCAAGACTCATTCCGTCTTTCATCCACGCCTTTAATCATGGTGTATAATTTTTTTCCGGTCTGCGTCAAGGCAAAGACATCAGAGAGGGGTCGGTATAAGTCTGCACCATGGCCGGGTCTTTCGACACAGAATATTTGACTCCACAAGTTGCAACCAACCGCCAGTCTTGAAGAGGCTAACAAACCTTGCCAAAAGTGACGACCTGGTCGAAGTGACGACCTGGTCGCCGGTCGCCTTGTACGGCTTGACACCCCCACGGCTGCCAACGGGTGCCTGTGTGATAACCTAGTACCCAGGTAGGTAAATAGTTTGCGAACTAGCGTGCAAAGGGACCACCAACAGATTCATGCGGATGCCTCATCAGCATGCACCAACAAGATGCATCGCTAGGTCACACCGTCGGGTCGCATCCAGCCGTGCCAACAGGCTGAACCACGCGTTGCCAGTGGCCCGCAAGTTCAGCATTCTCCTTGTCCGCCTCTTTAGCTGTGTACTTTTTTCGGCGGAACCAGACCTTCTTGGCCGTTGGTGTCCGCGTGTCTGCATATCGTGCAACGTTCCCCTCCTATCAGGTTAACATCCGTGGACATGGGCAAAGAGACGCCGCGTCTAAGTGCCCGGTCCTGGAAAAGTTGGAATATCGGGTCCGCTTTTCAGCCTCCTGATAAGTCAGTCAAAATATAGACGTTGAGTTCGTTCCCTGCTAGCCGTTGCAACCCCATGCCCTGATTCAACGGTTGGCAATGCCTTCTCACGAGTACTTGGAATAAGAATATGGTAATAGGTCGGCTAATTATAAACAGTAGGGCTAACAGTAAGCGAGTCGCCAACTGTAAGCGGCCGCCTCCCGGCCAATTAGGCTTTGGCACGCCGTCTGGCTGAGGTAGAGTCGAGCGGTGATTCTCTTTGATGAGGAGAACTTCTTCACATTCTTTCTAGAGCTGCTCTAAGTTCCCATAAATGTCTTCCTGGTATTAAGCTCTTTCTAGTCTTCTCCTCTAGAGGTGACATCTTGTTTCTACTACTATAGTACTTAAGTAGTTATCAGGACTTTAGGAAGGCGTGAAGAGGGCTGGGCCTGTGTGCCAGCCAAGTCCTGACTAATTAGGATCTCTCCTCTACTTGCTTATGGTCGGTACTGCTCACGGTTGGCAACGCGCTTGCGGTTGGTCCTGGGTTTATGATTGGCTATTCTACTACCTCTACTAACCGTTGTTGTTGGCTACGGGCTCCCAGTACAGTACATATTGCCCTCCCCTACCCCGACTATCCTTCCTTTCTGCTGACTCGACCCTGTACAACCTGCACAACAGAATAACCACCATCACTAGCAGCAGCTTTCATTTAATGATGTCATTCCAACCCAAGCAGATCACTCAGTACCAAGCTGAGCACCTTGCTGAGCTCCAAGGCGATGTCAGCGAGGAGGCAATCCGCTTCACCCTGGGCCTCTTCCCCCCCTTCTCCGCTGGAGACGTCATCCACGACAATGCCTGCGGCTCCGGGGCTGTCACCGAGACCATCATGGCCCTGCCGCCGCCGCCTAGCATCCATATTGATGCCACTGATGTCAACGAACACTTTGTACAAGGCGTTGCTGCCCTGGTTTCCCAGAAGCAATGGCCCGTTGATACTGCTGTTATGTCTGCTCAAGACCTGACTTTTGCCGACAACCGTTTTACGCACTCCTTCACCAGCTTCGCCTTCCACTGCTTGGGTGATCATGATACTGCCGCACGCCAGGTCTACCGCACCCTGAAGCCTGGCGGCATTGCCATCGCCTCGATTTGGATCTTTATGCCGCACGTCGACGCCCTTCAACATGCTCACTGGCGTACACGTGGCCGTGATGGGCCTATGCCCACCCTTCTCCCCGTTGAGGGTTTCCAAGAGGCCGACCTTCGAAAGGCCCTTGAGACCGGCGGCTTCCAGCCCGGGAACATCACCTTCTCCACCAAGGACTGCTATCTGAAGATCCCTGATCTGAAGCGTTGGGCCCAGCTGGCTTGGAGCTACCTGGGCACATTGCCTACGGGGTGGGCCCAGAACGACGAGGACAAGTGGGACGAAGCTGTCGCGGACATTGTCGAGGAGCTGAAGAGCGGTGATGGAATCTCGCAGAACGAGCAAGGGGAGACAGTTCTCAAGATGATTGCCTGTGTGGCTGTTGCGAAGAAGTAGGCACACCAGTGTTTACTACAGGGCTTTTTCATTTTGAACTTTAAAGCATGTGGCCAAATAGAGACCCCATTTCACATTCTCAAGTGCTCACCTGGGTATGCATGATGAAACCATAAGTGAGGTCGTGCGAGTCGTGAGAATGAACTCGGCAGTGGCTTCAGAGTGACCTCGAATGTTCATTGTGGTATCAGCTGTAAGGACGGCTCCCGCACATTGACCCCGTTCGGGCCGCGCACCTCGCAACCCGCGACGGCAGCCGGGGCGGTGCTGGCCCGGATGGCGGGCCCCATCGGCCCGAGCCGCCATCGCCGCCGGTATTGCGCGATATGCCGCCCCTGTGGTGGTCAGGCGAGTACCTCCGGGACGCGGTTGTGGTGGCCAGCTTCGACTCAGGACGGGTCGCGCTGCGCTCGGTCACCGTGTCGACGACGGCCAGGGACAAACGAAACTTGGGCGCACCACCTGTGGAGTTATCTCGGTCTGCCGGTCACAGGGGCTCTAGGAGGATGAGGTACGCTGGGACGAGGCAATGGACGTTATTTACGTCGTACCTTACCTAAGTACACAGGAATCACAAGGGATTTGCTTGGTTGGGATACGTCAAGTAACTACCCAGGTATCTACCTCTAGAAATCTTAAGGGTATCCAATCTCAATATCCAGGTGTGAGCACCGCTGCCTAGGCATTCAACAAGTCGAAATACTGACCCGTCACGTTGGTCCTTCGGACACTGCCTCCGCCATCCCCTGCGGAAACCATGTGGTACCTCGCATACGGCTCAAATCTGAGCTCCTCAAAATTCATCCACGATCGCGGCATCGCACCCTTTGCTACCGCCGTGATTACATTACCCAGCTAGACCTTGGTCATGGACAGCGCTGGGGTACTTAAGTACCCTGTTCCAAACCAGCCTTTGCAAGCATGGCGCCAGCTGGTCAAAGTGGTGGTCTTTTGGAGGACAAAAAAGCAGTGAAGTTAATTTGAACGGTGTATAAAGTCACCCCAGACATGTACACCAAGATTCTCGCATCGGAGGGGGGTGGCATTGCCTACCTAGGTTTGCAGTAGTGGAGGCTCGGGCACAGCGGCTGGATATTGATGACATGCTGAGCCAGGCAAGTCTGGCAACCCCCGGGCTTCTGGCACCTTTGCAGTACCTAGGTACGCTCACTGGTGACCGTTCTGCGAATCAAGGCCAGGCCAACTTCTCCTTACATGCTGTCAAACCCTTTCCTTGCTTGAAACGGCTGCCCCAGTTCTGTTCAGCTTCCCCCTGGCCTCTCCTGTGTGCCCATTTTCTTTGCGCATGCTCAACCGGGCAATGCATGGTGTGGTTTCACAGACACCTGGGCATGCAAAAGGTCAGCATGCCAAGCTACTCGGTTCAAATGTTACTATTTTTAAATATATCAGCATGTGGTGCTTACCTGTAGCCACCTGGGCACGTTGCATATGCATATACAGCGAATTATCAAAGGTTAGCAACCGCCGATAAGCTGTTGGCAAATAACTAGGTAGTACAGGCTAGGGGGGATCTGATCAACAAACACCTGGGCACACACACATCCCAGCAAATGAGATTCCGGACTGCCCATGTGTGATACTGCAGGATGGTTTCCGCACCTCTCCTGTGAGGAGGAGGAAGCCAGATATCTTTACTATTTATCAGCGTTGTGCTCCTTTCCTAATCTTGTCCATCCTCATACATTCTACAAGCACACCTCAACGCAATCTTCCCCGTAACTGTTGGAGATCCGACCCTGGGGAACAAAATATCAACAGCTAATTATTTACAGGCATTGGCAGCATCAGATCATATCCACAATCCGGGCTGATATCGTCTTGTCCCCAAGGATGGCGGACGCCGTCAAAGACCTGGAAACCGTCGAAGGCTTGGTCTCCAGCACGATCAAAAGTCTCGATAAAGGCATACGTTACCACGAGCATGTCAAAGAAGACAATAATCTGCGAGAGGCTTTCCATGAAGCGGGTCGCGGACTGGCACTTGTCAGGAACACTTTTCTAGCAATTCAAAGCAACTCAGCTAGAGACTCCAAAAAAGCCATGGGCCAGTTAAAAGTATGCAAAACCAATGCAGACATTGCCGTCGGCATATTCGGGACCGTCTTCTCCCAAGCAGCAGGAACTCCGAGATCCAAGATATATGAACAGGCCGTCAAACAAGTGGGCAATGGACAGCCGGTGGAGGAGCTTGTAGCGAAGATGATGGAAGATGTGCGTACCCTGACCGACAACTTTCCGATCCAACATGAGGTCAAGGAATTGGTCAAGGGATTGGAAGAAGCCATCAAGAAGTTGTCTGAGATGGAGCCGTCCGTGACTAAGGAGCAGTACGGCAATAAATTTACCCAATCCGGCTCTGGCGACCAATTCAACGCTCCTAATGGCACTCAGAACATCAGCAAAGGCAATGGTCACCAGTTCCCTGGGGCTACATTCACTGGAAATCTGAATTTTTAGCACGTCTAGCTCTCAAGAGCATGTATCTACAGATATCTAAACAGAGGTCAACCAAATAGGCTATGAATTAAATCTGAGATAGATGTAATATAGTAAAGAAAGTGTAAAAGGTAATCTCTAGTTAATAAAGATAAGTCACTATTTCATATGTTCTAATCTCTCCCCTTAGATATGCCTACATATACTACTGCCTTGATGTCAAGGCCCGACCAAGGATGAATATCTACTATTGAGAACTTAGAGCAAGTATTGTGGTAGTATGAAGAGTTATCTGCCTTCGGCTGAATTCCCGGAGTGTCACAAAGGGGACGCTGATCCAAAAGTCACCGAGCTATTGAAATTAGCCCCAGGGAATTGATTGCCATAGCCTTTACTGATGTTCTGAGTTCCGCCAGGAGTGTTGAATTGGTCGCCGTGCTTATAGTTGTTGAAGCATGAGTTGGGTGGCTCTTTTTTCTGTGCTTCTCCTTCAGAAGCTCTTGGTTGACTGGCAGCTGAGTTTCTAATTTGTGATTCCCATCTGATCAGCTCGCCAAGTAGCCTTTTAAAGCCATTGTCCTCTACGGAACTGAACTTGACCATGTTGCTATGATTGGCGTGGACGCTGATTGCGTTGTAACTTTCAAGGGTAGCCGAGTCCTTGAAGACGACTGTTCCAACCATGGACATGGGCAGCTCCTCAAAGAAGCACGTAACCTCGAGATCGCGGCCGGCCTTCTGCTGTTCCCGTACCATGGACCAGAACCGGTTTTGGATAGACCGGAGGTAGTCGTTATCTGTCTTTAAGACCTTCAACAGTGACTTGTTGGTGGACTTGATGATCCCAAAGGCCGAAGCTGGTATTGTAGCCCAGTGGGCCATCCACGATCCCCTGTGAGGCGTGCCCAGGAACATGATGCCCTTGGTACAGTCAAATATGCTACGGAGGTGCGGTTCAGCGTTGTTTCGGGAGAGAAGAACAGCTTCCTTGCAGACGAGGCCGCCCAGGCTGTGAGCGACAAAGACGATCGGCCGAGAGGACGCATTGGAACGGGCTCTCTCGGTCGACAGGTCGTGCAAGAGGTTCGTGGCATGATCGATCAGGCCATTTGTCGATGCGACCGATTTCCGCACGATGTAGGCATCGTAGCCGTACGTGAGAATGCGAGCCCTGCTGAGGTTGGGTGGCAGTAGCGTCTCGGGCCAAGGGTTGGACTGCCCGTCGGCGGTCCAGGTGCTGTCCCGATTGCCAGTCAGACCGTGAACAAAACAGACGTCGATCGTGGCTTCGCGGCAGTCGTGCAGAACTTTAATTCCATCCGGGAAGGAAGGAACAACAGTATTCTGAACGGTATGGGATGGCCCGAGATCTGTCTCGTGACGTGGTGGAGGGCTGGGTGGGCCGTGGTTGTGGCTTGTTTCCTGCTGTTGACCAACTTCCGGTGAATTGTTGCCAGTCTGACGCTGTTTCCGCCATGGAAATTTCGCTCGCAACTTGTTCATCAGTGGTGCGTTATAGAATCGATAGGAAAGGGAATTTGGGTCTGTCAAGGTCATTATACCTATGAATGACGCATTCTCCAGATAAGATTGATGGCTTTGAGAAAATAGTAGGTCGTAAGGAAGGAAGGAAGAATGCGGCGGGCGGCAGGATGCGAACTCAGGCCGCGGCAGCCCTTTGCCGTCTGCACTGCCCTGCTTCGGCAGCAGGCACAGCTTTCATCACATATCATCCTCGGTCTACAGAAGGGTGCGGGCACCATGCAGTATCACGCGTGGGCAATCACTTACTGGGTGCCCAGGTGTCACGAATGTTGCACATGTGCTTGATTAGCCACCATCTCTGGCCTCTAAGCTGCAAAATGTCGCCCCTAAAAGGTTCTCGGCGGTTACTGCAGGTTGGCAGCCCCATTTTAACTCCTTTCGCGCCCGAACCTGCAGCCGCCCACACTTCTCGGCGGCTTTTGGCCGCTGACATCCTCTAATAATCCGCGACGTGTGGTTGCAAGTTGGGTGCCCAGAGTGCGGCTGAGGACATGCCCATACACGACAAACCTTGGAACGTGACTGATTGGCCTGTGGTGCCGAGATCATGCATGTCAGCACAATGCGTCGGCATGAAAATGATCATAAAGGCAGGCTGGGGTCTAATCCATTCTGCACATCTGGTATCGGACTGAATGGACGGTACCCATGCGTCGAACTACTTGAGTACCCAGGTAGCTGGTGTATCTGTCGCGGCCCTGAGGATTGTAAAGGCTCACAGCTTATCTTGACTTGGTTGACTTGACACTCTAATCCGATATAGAGCTGATTTCCTACTTCCTCAAGTTATCAAACTACCTACATAGGTACTTAAGTACGTACTACCCAGGTATTCGGCTCGCGAGCAAACCCGCAGTATGTTACACTTGAGCACCCCCGGCCGTTTTGATCTTCTAAGGATGACCTGTAGACATGCGTCTTATTTATATCTCCCTTCTAATGGTGCCGTTACATTATCGCAAAGCTCTATTAACTGTTAGTGACAGCCAGCCGCTCCCACCCCCTCACCCCCGCTGACCGCCAACAACCCGACCTCGTCGTCCTGGTTTCCAGCTGACTTCCCATCCTTTAGCATATCTGGCTCCACAGCTGAGACGAAGAGATTGGGTTAGTCTCGTTCGCACCCCACGTTCCAAATGTAGGCCCTGATAAGCCATCGGACAGATCAAATTTTTGGTACAAACCAGCTCATATCTCTGTTCTACCTCAGCCTTCTTCAATTCATCTGTCGTGTATTAGACAATGCAGAGAGCCAAGCTCAAGGGATCTCGGCCACAGACACGGCCTCAGGCTGATGGGTTACAAGAGACGAGATACCGTGGGCTCTCTTCCCAGAGCACATCCTCTAATAGTCTCGGTACTGGGGACCAATTCAACGCTCCCCAGGGCAACATGAGCGTCACTCAAGGCCCCGGTAATCAATTCCCTGGGGCTAATTTCCAAGGGACTGTGAATTTCCGTAAGATCAGGCGTTCTTGTCGACAATGTAAAGATTCTCAACTTACCATGGTCAATAGACACTACCGGCAAGGCCCACTCGGCTTCGCCATTACAAGAATGCTTACAGTCGCTGGCTTTTCCAGAAATGGACAGGCGGTCGAACGATATCGATATTGCAGCACAGGGAACATGCGAGTGGCTATTTCAACACGAAAAGTTCACGAGGTGGGAGAGGAGTGACCGAGCCCTGCTTTGGATCAAGGGGAAGCCCGGCTCCGGGAAGTCGACGTTATTGCGACACGTTCTGAAACAGCTCGAAGTTAAGAAAGGAGGGGAAGACTTGATCTTTCTCTCATTCTTCTTCCACGGCCGTGGCTCTGAACTCCAAAAGACACCGTCGGGCCTCTTTCGCGCGCTTCTTTACCAGCTCATCACAAGTAACTTGGATCAGACCCCCGACGCCGCAATCACAGGATTCGTGAACGATTTTGAAAGACAATGCAAAACCAGGGGTAAGCTGGGCGAAGGGTGGCAGTGGGACCCGCAAGCTTTGCGACGCTCTCTCAACTCATTGCTCCAGAGTGTCTTGACAACTCGCCCAGTATGGCTATTCATTGATGCGTTAGACGAATGTGGGAGAAAGGACGCCGTGAGGCTGGTCGAAGAGTTCAAATCCTTGCTCAAGAGTTCCCAATATAACAGCTCAAAACAGTTTCACATCTGCTTCACTTGTCGTCACTACCCGAATCTGGATATGAATACAGATGACTTGTTCGAAATACACGTTGAGGATGAAAACAGGACAGACATATCGACGTTCGTTGGAGAGAAGCTGTCTTCGTTTCAAGGAAGAACGAAATCCAGTATTCCAGATTTGATCATACAACGTGCCAACGGCGTTTTTTTGTGGGCAGAGCTTGTGGTGAAGAATGTTCTGGACCTGGACCGCGATGGGGAGACAGTGTGCAAGATTGAAGCGGAAATCTCTTCTGTTCCTCAGGAGCTAGATGACTTGTTCCGCGAACTCATCCGAGAGATGGACTCGGCATCTCTGAAGCTAATCCAGTGGATCTGCTTTGCTATGCGACCCTTGACAGTCGACGAATTGCGATGGGCTATGTTTATCGACGTTGACTGCCGTCACAGGTCATTGCAGGCATGTCATAATTCGAAGCATTACGAGCCGGACAGTAAGAGGTTCAAGAGACGAGTTCAGACGCTCAGCCGCGGTCTTGCTGAGGTGACCTCAGACGAACAGACTGTCCAGTTCATCCATCAGTCGGTCAAGGACTTTTTTATCCAGAAAGGTTTATCAGCTCTGGACACCAGTCCGACAATACGCTTTTTCACAGCCCTGGAGGTCATTCACCAATCTATCAAGGACTTTTCCATCAAAAAGGGTCCATCAGTCCTGGACGAGGGCCCGGGCTTGTACATGTCAACCACTCTAATTGTGCTCGCTACCGTATTTTTTTACTTGCACTACTTCACGAGAGGCCCTCAAAGTCTCTCACCAGGTCATTCTTCTCCTCCACCTATTATCCGTGCGATGGTCTCAGCTTTCTTGGTGCGCGGTGTATCGGTCCGGGACGCCAAAGCCGATTTTATCGCGCGCATCGCACACTATCGACTATCCAGGATCTGTATACGCTACTTAGCAATGGAGGAGGTCGGTCGGTCGACAGAGCATGAAGATGATGACTTTCCTTTTCTGCGTTACGCCTTGACCTCATGGGTCCCTCACACAAAGGCGAGTGACGCTAGAAGTGTCCCTCAAGAGGATCTTTTGGAATGCTTTGAGTGGTCGTCACACTCTGTCGTGGAACGATGGGTGCGTGTTTACAGAGAGATCCATGCTTTGAAATATTCCAATTACCATCCACCAGATGGAACTAGTCTGGTGCATGTCTTGTCGAGATACGGGTTATTGGGACCACTGAGGGTCATAATGCAGAGGGCGGACCACACTGATGTTGACATTAAAGACGGGGTTGGCCGGACGCCCTTATCGTATGCTGCCGAGTTTGGGCACGAGGCCGTTATACGACTACTCCTCGACAACGGCGCCTATATCGAGACGGCCGACAAGAATGGCCGGACGCCACTATCGCGTGCTACTACACAAGGGCACGGTGCCGTGATACAACTACTCCTCGACAACGGCGCCTATATTGAGGCGGCTGATAACGATGGCTGGACACCATTAATGTACGCTGTTACACCTTGGCTTAAGCCTGTTGTGCGCCAGCTCTACCACAGCGGCCCCAGCGGCCCCAACAGCGAATTCCGAGATTATCAGTTGCAGTTGAGACTGATTGAGGATCTAAATAGAAAGCGTCTCATGAAGGCCGGACAGCGGCAGGCTTTAGCAACTACGAACAATCGTGAGGCTTTTGTGCGGCTGCTCCTTGACAAGGGTGCCAACATTCAAGTGAAGGACAAGGACGGTTTGACGCTGCTGTGGTGTGCCACTATACTCGGGGAAGAGGCTGTTATACGGCTGCTCCTGGATAAAGGCGCTAATACTGAGGGGACAGACAAAGTAGGCAACACGCTGGTATCATATGCCATCAAGGACAATAACAAGCCTGTCGTACGGCTTCTACAACTCCATACTACAGTGGGCCTCGAAGAGTCTCCCCACCCCCGGCCCAAGCACAATTACAACCTTCGGCCTCGGCACACTTAGCACCATCACCTGCTATAATCTTTACTGATATATAACTCTATTAAGATGTTCCTCACAACCGATAGGAAAAGAGACTTGAATTGTCTGTGAGGAACTATTGATTAATAAAGTTAGGGTTGCCTAAGGAAATATAAGGGAGTAAATAGCGAAGCTGCAATCCTATGTGGTGAGAGGTAGAGATATAGAGGCTACTTAGGTTAATAAGATAAGTAGAGTATATAGACCTACTAGTTAGTCTTATAAGTAATTAATTTATAGCTTTAATATTTATATAAGATATTTTATTAATAATTAAAGATTATAATTTTATTTATATTTCTTTTTATTAAATTAATTTATATATAATTTTTTAACTTTTAAATATTAATTTATTTATAATATATATTATTATTAAATATTTTTAAAACTTTTAAATTTTAAATTTTAATAAAAATATAAAAATATATTTATTTTAATATTATTTAATTATTTATAATAAATTAATAATAATAAAATAATAAAATAATAAAAATATAAAATATAAAAAAGTTATATTTAAAATTATTCTCTTTTAATATAAAATTAAAAGACTTATAATTATAATTTTTAATTAATTTTTATTTAATTAATTTCTTTTATTATAACTTAATTTAATCTTTAACTTAATTTAAACCTTCTTTTAAACTATATAAAATCTTTTATTTTTATAAATATAAACTTTAAATTAAAATCTTTAAATTTAAATTTAAAATTCTTATAAATTTTAATTTCTTTTAAATTAAGTTTATAATTCTTTAACTTCTTTAAAAATATATTAATTATTTTAAATATTAATAACTTTTTTTAAAAAATAAAGATTTTATTGGTACGGGTTATTATATATGTATATATAAAGAGTGGTTGGTTGAGTTGGATTATGTAGGAGGGAGGAAGCCAGGCCCGAAGGGCTGGTGATGAGTCCCTCGCTATGGCCTACCAACTAGGGTTACGTGACGTGACCCGAACTATCTACTGATTGCGATTACCTCTATTCCTATAGATTTATTTTTATATAATTATAAATTTAATTATTAATAATTATTTCTTTTTTTATTTATAAATTATTAAAATTATAAATTTAAATAATAAAGTATATTTACTTTATTTAAAGGTTATCTCTTAATTTAATTAAGTAATTACTTTTAAATAATTTTATTTATAATATAATAAAGTTAATAGTTTTTTAAGTTTATTAAATAAATATTTATTTAAATAAAATTAGAATTTTTAAAGAATAATAGTTTTATTTTATTTATTTTTATTAATTTATATTTAAAAGACTTAAATTATATAATAACTTTATATATAATATTTAATATTATTAAAATTAAATAGTTTATAATTTATAATAACTTTAACTTTTAATAAATTAATTTATATTAAAGTTAATAATATTAATTTTAACTAATTAAATATAATTTAATATATTAATATAAGAAGGTATTTTTAATAATAAATAATATTATAAATATAATAAATTTTAAAATTTATAAGAAGAGTAAGTTATAGTGAATTAGCTATTATAAGTAAACGATAAATAGTTTATATATATATATAAGTTAAACTTAGTTAGTAGGTTTAGCTAACTTAACTAAGCGCTTTACCGTTTAATTAGATAGACTTTTAATTAATATAAATATATATTATTTTAATTAACTACTTCTTATATATAAGTTAAGTTAATTAATATTAATTAGTTATTAACTAACTTTTAATAGTAAAGTATTTAAAGTTATTATTAAAACTATTTATAAATATTATAATTTAAAAAAATAAAGTTATTTATAAATATTTATAAGTATAATTAACTATTAAGTAAAACTTTTTTATTAAATAAGTTTTATAACTTTTTTATAATAAAACTTTTTTATAATAATTTATAAAAAGTATTAAATTATAAATAATTATAATAACCTTTTTTATTTATTAAATAATCTTTTATAATAGCTAGGTGGAAGCTATAAGGAAGTACCTTAAAAGCACTTTAATGCCTAGTTATACTCCTTTTTAAAGCTTATTAAAAAGTAAGTAAAGCTTATTTATTTCTTTTTAAAAAGAGATAAAAATTAATTTTATATTAAATTTAAATTTAATAGACTTTTAAACTTTTCTTAATCTATATTATTATATCTAATATTATAGTTTATTATAATTTTAATTCTTTTTTTTATACTATTTATAATATTATTAAAAATAAATAATTAAAAGAGAGGTTTTAAATAAGTTTAAATAATAGTAAAAGGAGTTTAAATACCTTTTTAATAAATAATATCCTTATTTAAAAATAAAAGTAAAATTAAATTCTTTAATAAAAATAAATACCTTTAAAGTAGTTAAAATTACTTTAAAAATTAAGTTAAAAATTTAAAATTAATTAATATTACTTTATTATTTATAGTTTATATTTTATAATAATATAATAATTAAATAATAAATTTTAAAAGGGTTTATATTTTTAATTATAATTTCTTTATAATAATAAAATAAAAGTAATTTATATATTTAATTATATTAATAAAAATATTAAAACTATTAAAATATTTATATAAAATTTAAAAAAGGAGATAAATTTATATTTAATTATTATAAATAAAATAAATTTAAAATCTTTAATAATAACTTTAAAAAAATTTTAAAGTATTTTAAGGTTATTTAAAACTTAATTAATTCTATTTATTAATAAAAAATTAAAACTTTTAATTTTTTATTAATATTTTAAAATCTTAAAGTTAGAATAAAAGGTTAAAAGTAATAATTTTAAAGTTAAATTTTTTTTAAGTTATAAAGTTAAATTTTTAAAAATTTAAATTAAATATATTTTAAATTTATTAAATATTAAAAATAAAATAGTTAAAATTATTTAAATAATTTAAATTAATATATTTAAATAAATTAAAAGAGAAAATATAAAAATTAGAAATAAAATATAAGGAAGGTAATAAAACTTTTAATAAAAAAGAATAAGGAAGCTTCTTAAAGTAATATTATAGTTTTAAGGGAATTTAAAGTTTATTATATATAAAGGTTAAAGTTAAAATTTTAAAGTAAAGGTTTATATATTTAATTTAATTAAAATATTTAAAAAATAATTTTAAAACTATTTTAAAACTTAATTTTTAATAATAATAAAAAGCTAATTATTTATTATTATTATAATAATACTTATTATTATATTTTAAATTATTTAATATTAATAGAAGTTATAATATTTATAAATTAAGTTTAAAATTATAATAACTATTAATTAAAGAGTTATTAAAGGTAAAACTAAAATAAAGAAAGTTAAGGATTATTTTAATTATTTATTAAAATAATATTTAAAATAAAAAAGTTAGACTAATAATTAAAATTAAAAGAAAAGGAAATAATAAAGGTTTATAATACCTTTATAATTTTAAAAGTAATTATAATATAAAGTTAAAAGTATATTAAAATTAACCTTAATATTTAAATTTAAATAGATTTAATTAATATTTTTTATAAAAAAATTTAGTTTAAAAATTAAAAATTTTTAATATTTATTAAGAAATTAATTATATTTTAATATTTATTTATAAAATTTTAAATTTCTTTTAATTAAGGACTATTTTAGGAATTAAAAAAAAATTTAAAATATTTTACTATTAATTAAAAGTATTTTAAGTTTATTTTATTATTAAAACTTTAAATTTATAATATTTTTAAATAAAGTTAAAAGTTATTTAAAAACTAATAACTTTAATAAAATAATTTATATATTATTTAATAAACTATAAAATTCTTTATAAAAATTAAAAATAAAATATTTATTATTATATTATTTTTAATTAATAACTCTTTTAGTTTAAATAATAAAAGAAATAATAAAAGCTAAAAGGATAAATAAAGGAGAAAAATTATCCTTTAATTCCTCTTAATTATATTTATAATTAAGGGGCTTAAAAAAGTTTTTTATAAAAATTAGAGTAAAAAAACTCCCTTTTTAAAAAAAGGTAGATTATATAATTAAATTAAAAGAAAGAATATTACTATTTTTTCTATTTTTTTACCTATTATTATTAAAGAAATTAAAATTTTAAAAATAATTAGAAAAAGTTTAAAAACTAAATAAATTACCCTAATAAAAGTTTAATAAAGGCTTTAATTTTATTTACCTTTAAAAAAATAATACTTTTAACTTTATATTAATTATTAAACTTTTAATAAAATAATAATTAAAATTATTACCTTTTATTACTTATTTTAAGATTTTAAATTAATTATTAAGTATAAAGTATTTTTAAAAATTAATTTAATAAATATTTATTATTAAATTTATATTTAAAAAATAAATAAAAATAGTATTCTATATATATTATAGTTATTATAAATTTAAAGTAATACTATTTAAATTAATTAATATTTTTATTATATTTTAATTATTTATTATAAAGGTTTTAAATAATTATATTAATATTTATATAATTATTTATTTAGATAATATTTTAATTTTTAAAGAATAAAAGAATATAAGAAATATATTTAAATAATTATAAATTAATTATTATTAGTTAAATTTTATAGAAATTTTAAAAGTATAGCTTTTTAAGAGGAGATTAAATTTCTAAAATTCTTAGTTAGAAAGAAAGGAATTTAAATAAATTCTAATTAAATTAAGATTATTTAGAAATAGCTTATTTCTACTACCTATTATAATATTTAGATTTTTAGGTTTTATAATTTCTATTAAAAGTTTATTAAAGAATATTTTAGGATTATTTAACTCTTTAATAAGTAATTATTTAATATAAAATAGAGTTAAAAGTTTAATAAAGTTAATTTATTTATATTTAAAAATTTAAAGGTTTAAAAGTCTTTAAGAAATTTAAGATTAAGTTTTAATAAATATTTTTATTTTAATATTATAATTTAATATTTTATATTTAAATTAAGTATAATACTTTTAATAAAATAGTTATTTTAGTAATCTTTTAGAAATATATTATTAAAGATATATTTTAATA